TATTTTTGTTTTGTTTTAAGTATTATTTTCAAAGACGCAGACAACTGTATGTGTAATATATATAAATCTATATGTTCTTTATATAAACTTGTATATTCAGGCAAAAAATAAACTTAACTGAAAATACCGATTTGAAAAAAAAATCTTAATCTCACAAAGAAAAAAAAAATTAAAAAAAAAAAATGATTTTAGATTTAGAAGCTTCACACTCGAATCAGGTAAGATTAAGTTCTAGTATAAGTGTAAGAAAAAACTTGTCCCCCCCCACAGGTCATCAAATATTGAAACATTTAGTTTAAAATAATATAGTCAATATTGTGACTATTTATTTGCTTATACTTTAAAAGTTGTCATAAATGTGAAGTTTGAAACGATGCGTTTAAGATTGCTACAACATTATTTTGATGAATTACAGATTCTTTTTGATAAACATTTTTTACCAAAGACTATCTGAAGGTTTTGTTAATTGTTTTAAAATTGTCAGATTTTTCTTAATTCCTATTTCTATTATCTTAAAAGTGTGAATTTATCTATAACATAGAAAGAATTTATAATTAAATATTTTTTTTGAATTTGTTATGAAAGTTAAATAAACTTATGCTCTCTAGTGCTTAAAAAGGAACGAAATTATCTTGAATATTTCTGAATCCGTGCATTTGACATTTTTTTGTTAAATTTTGATTTATTCCACTAATATTCTAATTTGAGAGTACGACTGAAAATCTACTCCTTAATTATTGCAGAAGCATTTTATAAATTTATGAAAATAAATTCATTTCTGTTACAGTTTATTAATATCGCAATACGAATTAGTTTGATTTTTCAATTTACATTTTACTACCGCTTCGTAAAATTATTATTTATAATATAAAAAAGTTTGCTTGCAAAAAGTTGTAAAAATTTTTTTACGATTTCAAAACTAGATTCGCGACGCCTTCTCGATCGCCTGGGAATAAAATTATTTTCAGTTACTTTCAAACTGTTTCGTGTTTACTATTTTATCATTTCTCCATAGGTTCTAAATGTGGCTTTAAAACTAATAGGAATTTCAGTTTTTTTTTGAAATATCGCTTCGACATTTAGAGGTTTTGCACAGCAGAGCTTTTTATATAAGCAAATTTTTCTGTGAAAAACGTTTTGTGGTAGGGGGAGGGCTGAATCTCCCCCCCCCACACACAATATATTTAATACAATATATTTAAACTTTCAACCCCAATTGTTCACGCTTTGAGAATTTGTACACCATCGAAGGTGTCTAAATAGGAAGTTTTACCCAGGTTTGCAGTTAAAAAGGCTAATTAACAAAAACCACAGTAAACATTGTCCCTTAACCCTTTCGGGAACAGCAAATTCCGAACTAGAATTTTACTGAGGTAGGACATTAGCAAGTGTGACTTTAGACAGTACATTTTAAGTGAAGCGATATATTTCAACTCTTTGTTGTTTAATGAATAGTGGTTGCTAAACATTTAAAAGCCATTAGTTTTATATTTCTGGTGGTTTGACACATTATTTGAATTAGTGTGGTGAGACTACATTTCACCGGAAAGGGTTAACTCAAGCATACTTAATTGTGCATAGATGAGGGGCATCTCTACGGAATTTACTAAGTGGTGTCTATCTTTAATTCGATTGTTCTTCAGTGTAATATAAACTGACCAACGTCCTCGGAAAATCGAATAATTGATTGCAAAATTTCAAAACGGAAAATTCACTGCTTTGCTTTTCCAATTCAATATCTCGAGAACAGAATTCCTTCGCAGAGATTCTTTAACAGAATTGCATTTTTTTAAAGTTTCCTAAGAAGAGTGGTCACGAAAATTATTAATTTCTATTTTATTCAATATGAGGCTTTCTAATAAGTATATATACAGTAATAAGGGACAATGTAAAGTCAATATAAAATAATATGGGACATAAGTGACAGTAAAAAAACGGATGACATTGTTTTGTTTAGCTGCGAAAATATAGTAAACGTTTCTAATAACCCTTTTGAAGGCCGTGGTAAGTATACTTATCACCACGTTTTANGCCGAACGCGGAACCCCCAGTGTTAGTTCCCAAGCATGCTTGGTACTCATTTTATCGACCCACTGAAGGGATGAAAGGCCATGTTATCACCAAAAAAATGGCATTTTTATAAACTAAATGAGTTTTTTTTTGTATATATCAATTACTGTTCTTAAAACAATTTCAATTCCAAAAATACTTTAATTTACCTTTACTAGAAATAAAGGGCCCATTAAAGGGTTAACACATAGCATCAAAAATGCGTATAATGTTTGTTCAACATGATTTGCAATTATTTTGAAAATTTGCTTTAATAGGACTAAGAATTGACTAAGAATAGGACTAGAATTGACTAAGGGACTGGGGATAGAAGTGTCCTTTTACGCATTCAAATTGAGCTGTTATTCTTTATATTTAGGATACAACCAGTGGAATACTTTTAAAAGACAGTTGGAAAGCTTTGATGGCTTTTAAAAAGCCAAAAACATCTTAGTTAGAAAAATAAATCAAATAAAAGTAAATCCAGTTTTTCTTTATGTTAATATCTATACAGTTTAGGTAGTCATCAGCATGAAATTAATATAATTCATAAAGGTTTTGTTTTCCTATAAAAGATTTTTGTATCCATAAATCAATGGTATTTACCTGTGATATTTATTTTTCTCATTCTATTATGCTTTGTTTCCTTATGTTCGTTTTGTTATGCTTGTTTCGTTCTTACAATGTAATTCTATAATATTACCTTAATACGCTGTAAAATTTATTGATAAACTTATAACTTAACTTATTGTATCTAAGTTTATTAACCGTTTTACAATTATTTTTTTTTAATGTAAATTTCATCAATATAGTATTATTTACAGTTCAAGAGATTTGTTTTATGAAAGTCAAAATGAGTCAAAAGCAGTCAAAATGACTGAATTGTGAATGAATAAATAAATTTGTTTAAAATTAATTTTTCGCATTTTTTACATTATTTACAGTTAATGTATTTAGTTATTAGTAAATATTAGCAACAAAAAAAATTATATGTTGTACAAAAAGTCACAAAATTCTAAGAAATTGTGTCATTATATACACCATTGTTTTTCTAATTGAAATTAAAAGCAGTCAAAATGACTTCCTTAGGCAATCTAGTGCTAAGAGATTCGATCAGTTTCATGCACAATGTGATGCATGCACAAATCGTATTTCATATATCAGCCTGTTTGGTAAATAAAAACGTTAAATTACGCTTGTGCAGTCACCAAATTTATAATACCAATATATCTTTATTTTCAATGTTATTTTTAAAAAACTGATTGCTAAACAAAATTATTTATGTTCATTAACAGATCTTAATAGAATCTTTAAGGAAATTCTTGGACGTGGGTAAAGGATGTACAAGCGTAAGCAAACAGAATTCTTTTTACTTCGTACAAAAAATTGTTTTACGTCAAGGGACAACAATTATTGCCAAGTGTTGGTGTTTTTGATCGGCGGCAGCAAATAGGAGACTTAGACCCTAGTTCATTAATATTTTCTCATCTTCGTTTAAAAAAGTTGATTGACGATGATTCTGACCACCACAACATATAAATAATTCAAATATAAATATATAAAAAGTATTACAGTAATCATTAAAAATATTAATAAGATTCGTACAGGTATTTAAATATTTTTAAAAAATTGCATCAAGATTGTAATAAAAAAGCAAGAATTTATTTACTAGCATTCTTGTAATAATAAAGAATTCTGAAGCCAAGATTCCGCAACTAGATACAGAACTGACAACTTTCTACGCTTCTCGTAAAAAATTATTCCAGGGGTACCTAAGCTAATGTTTTAGTGTATTATTTTTTACTCATTTAAATCTTATCTTCCGCACCACTACATATAAATGATAAGTTCATATGCAACGCCACTTTGTGATGAGACTTTTAAAATGCTGGTAAAATTAGCAAAAAATTCTGAAAGCGTTGGTTTTTAAATTTTACCCCTCTATAAAATATTTTGCAAAAAGCGTACCAAATGACAGAGATAATCACATTCATATTTTCTTATTCTAAGATTTTTTAAATTTTTTAAGGACATTGCGAAACCTGTATCAAGCATTTGTATATTTAACACGTTCACGCTAGATTGTCTCATCTTGCCAGCGCACCTGAGTAAAAACTGGTAACAATAAATTTCATTTTTTAGTTTTTATCCGGGAATAATAAAAATCTATAATTACCAATTGTTTTTGACTGATGCAATTTTTATATTGAATAGCTTCTTCGCCGTGATAAATTTCCTTACAGTGAATTGTTATTGTTGAGAATCGATTAACTCCTCCCGAATATTATCTAATATTGAAATAGTTCTTCTACCAGTATATTCTCTTTTCCGTCCCGCTTTCAGACCTGTTCTNATATTTGGCGGCACACAAAAAAACCACGCCACAGTGGTTGAGAATCACTGTTTTAGTGTATTATTTTTTACTAATTTAATCTTATTTTCCACACCACTACATATAAATGATAAGTTCATATGCAACGCCACTTTGTAATGAGGCCTTTAAAATGCTGGTAAAATTACCAAAAATTCTGAAAGCTTTGGATTTTAAATGTTATACCTCTATAAAATATTTTGCAAAAAGCGTAGCAAATCACAGAGATAATCACTTTTGGAAACATACTTGGTGTAAGCCAATTTATCAAAATATTTCATATTTTCTTATTCTAAGATTTTTTAAAATTTTTTAAAGAGTTTACGAACCCTGTATCAAGCATTTGTATATTTAAAATAATTCCTGATTGCAATTGTAAAACAATAAACTCTACCACGGAGAGAATCACCTGAAAATGTACAAACGGCAACTTATTAATTTCTGAAGAAAAGCGCAAATTATTTGAATTTATATTCTATCTCAGGAATCTTTCCGCTGAATTTAATAGTTTAACACTGTTAATAACAACAGTCGTGTGGCATTATTTTGATTCTGAATGGCTATTTTCTCTTTCTTGTAGTTGACACCTTTCAGCCGTCGCATGCGGCAGAAAAGGAAGAAGGCCGTCCACTCATCAAAGTCTCGAATTGTGGATCTGCAACGGCGACTTTGGATTACGATAGTGGTGTGGCGGATCTGAGGAAAGAGCGAGAGCTTCACACGGACGTGAATGTTGAACTTTCTGTGTTTTGGGTTTGTGGTTGGAAACTCGTGGCACTACATTGGCCACGCCTTACCAGGTGAGTACTCATAGAACTTGGTGTGCAACTTTACGAACCACATTTTAATGTTTACTATTTCCATATCGTGCGATGGAACATATTAATTAATTAAGGCTGTTTCTCGAGGGCTTTGTCGTAATATGAAATTCTGCTTTTTGCGAATAATATGCATTTTTTTTCATAATTGATCTGAGTTTGCAATAGTTACTGTTACGAGTTTATCTTATCAAAAGCCATTGTTGGTCTATGCTTATTTTGAAAATGGGGCAAAACGCCAATATGGAGAAAAAGCACAGTTTTGTGAAAATGAAAAGCGTTTGTGGTCTAATTTTTTTAATATTTAAAATCTTACTCCAATGCTGCATAACTTGGGCTCATAAAATTTGCAAAAACTGAGAATAAGGCAGTGATTTTGAGAATTTACATCTAAGTGGAAAAATGTCGCCAAATTGGCGATTTTTAAAAAAGTTTAATATCTTTTAAAATATTTTTAAAGTTATTTGTCCGTTCTAATGCCCAGATAATTCTCCACGTCAAGATCATATATACAGTTTAAAATCATTGCATTGCTTCAAGTGTAAGGCACTTAAACTATGACTTTTTTATTTTGCTTGGCGACCGAGCTTTGAAAAATAGTGTTAAGTATATTATAACTAGAGACAGTTCGAGATTACAGTTTTTTTAAACTTAAAATTGAAATATTGCTCTTAATTATATACAGTTTTTAAAAAAATGAAAAAAAGCAAGATGTAGTAAAATGTCTAACGAAGATAGTTTTTTGTTTGTTTAATTAGTGTTGTCGATTCTATTGATATGATATATTGTCACATTATTATCATCGTTACGTTATTGTGTTGTTTTACGTCATGTAAATTACATTCAAATTTAATATTTTATTATAAATATGAAATGGACTTTTAATATAATTTCACGACCCCAAGAAGTTGTTAAAAATCAAATAATTTCTCCACCGACCTCTATGATTTTTTTTATTCATTTATTATTTTTCTTAAAAAAAAAGAAATAAAAAAAAAACTGTATCGAAATCATGCTAAAAATAATTTTCAGATTATATACATCGAATAGAAAGGAATATCAGATGAAAAGAAACCTGTAACATTTTAAAAACAAATAAGCTATTCAAAAAAAAAATTTTTTTTTTTTAATAATCTCAATTTTCAACTCTCTGATGATACCTTAAATTATTAAAAAAAGTCGTATTTTTAAAATTCATTCATTCTATAACTATTAAACCGATTTCACTCCAATTTTTTTATTTTGCCATGTAAAATTACATTCTTAAAGATGATGTAAAAGTTGTATAACCTACATTTCCAAATTTTTCAACTATTATCAAATAAAACAATAAAAAAATAATAAATATTTATTAAAAGTTATTTTTAGTATGGAATTATCTTTGAATAAATAAAGCTTATAATTTGTGCGAAAATGTTTCAATTCGATTAAAAAGTTCTTGAAATAAGGCAAAATACGCAAAAAGTAAAATTAATAAAGGATCCAAACTTTGAACTTCTCACTTAACTAAACTATTCCGACCATATTTCCCAAACTGCGGGTCTTAAGATTATTGTTAGGATTTTCGTATGTTTATTTAAATTATTCATGCGCAGTGCTAGTCACAATCGTAATAAATAAACTTTTATACTAATTACCTCTTTTAAAAATAAGAAGAAAATCAGGAGAATCGACAGCCATGCAATCTTCAAATGCTACAACTTCGTAGAAAAAGGATTGACCTTATTTGGTTTGATTGCCAGCTGAACAGGAATAAATTACTTCTGAACGAAACTGCTGTTATGTAATTTTTATTTTAACAAAGTGATTTGCAATATGCATGATTCCTTTTACTTTTCGAATAGATCATAAATGTATTTGCACGAAATTTTAATTATAAAAACTCCTGCTATAATGCAATGCATATAAATGATTTAAAAGTTCATAAGCAACGCCACATTTTTCCGGTTTTCTTGTTATGAGGCTTTTAAAATGATGGTAAATTTTCCAAAAATACTGAAAGCTTTGGTTTTTAAATGCTTACAACTCTATAAAATATTTTACAAAAAGCGCAGTAGCTGGCAGGCCTTAAAACGTGTTTTTTTATTATTTTTTTAACCTCTATATGTAAGTAGATGCACATATTTTGTTTATTTAAGGTAAAATATAATAACGAAATAATAGTTCGAACAGTTTTTATTTTTTTTTAAAAATATAATAAATGACAAATAATAAATAATTGTGTTCAAATGTTTCTGGGTTTTAACGGGTTAATAATTTGTTATATTTGAACTGAAGTTAAAAAAAATTCTATTATCCTTACTCTATTAGCTATTAGTTTGTATATATGTAAATAAAAGACACGAAACGTTTTAACATTTAAGCTTCACATTAAGCTTCATATAAGCTTCAAACAAAGTTCGACATTAATTTGAAATGATGTAGCACATTAGTTTCATATCTTTCTGAGATTTAAGCTACATTAAATGATATTCCGTAAATATCAACTTTTTGCATTTTGCGTAAAATGATGTTCAAATTTATATTTAAAGTGCTAATAAAATTCTTTCATACTTAACTATTTATTTCTTCAATTTATAAGCTTAGTTAAATGATTTTATCCACCATTACATTTAAATGAATAAAACATATGATAAGTTTACGAGTACGTGCTTAAAATCTTATAAAATAAAATGCGCATTCATATAATAAACATGCATATATTTGTCTGTAATAGTAATACAATTTTCATTTTACTACCTCAGGAGAAAAGCATTCTTGGAAAGATTAATAGTCGGCAAGTATTATATTAAATGTAATACATACAGAATTTACTTTAATCTCCTTTTCAAGTTGTATTAAGCTATTTAATATCACAAAAAGTTTTAAATAGTGATATTATATAAAAAAAAGGTATTAAGTTTCATTACAAAATGCGTATATATGTATTGATTTACATATATTGCACATAAATGATTTTTATTCTCTTTTTTAATGTTAGTTTTTTTTATACTTTATTTTAGTATTTCTTAACTTGTCCCTGAAAGTGTAGATTACAGTTAGCAAATAAAAATCACATGTCGTTATCTAGAAATTTACGTTCATGTTTTTTCTTAACTATTTGTGCCATAAAATACTTTTTGTTTGCTTAGCCCTATTTCAGATATTTCGGATACACGGACTTTGTTAGTAAAAATGGTTTTAGTCAAATAAACCTCGTATACTTTTATATTAATATATTTCTTTTTTCAAATTTTATATAGATTCTAAGAAAACTGAAATGTAAAAAAAGCTAAAAGCTTATGTAAAGTTACCTTTTATGTAAAAATACGAATTTATGTATAAAATAGTAATCGATGAAACATATAGATGATTTTTAGATGGATAAATGCATTGAAAATAATATTTAATTCTTTGTAGCAGTTTTGAGATGTTTTTCGGAAAAACTAAAATGGATGGCTGTAAATTAATTAAACTGTTATTTTATTAATTATGCAAATAGTAAAAAATTGTAATTAATTTAACTAATTGCAATTAACTAATTTTAAACTAATTGGCAATAGATTAAACTGCTTCAATCTTATTTATGTAATTAGTCAAAGGGCTTAAAATTCATATTAATTAGTAAATACAATAAAATGGTCAGTTTTAACGTTTCATTATCTACATTACCATGCCAACAAAAACAAATTACTTTGTTGTATTCAATAAATTAGTTAAATATTTAATGAAAGCAACTCTTAAATGAAAAAATCAATCTTTTTCTAAAAATGATGTTATCTTTTCCTTAAATTTTAATTATGAGATGAATATATTTTAAAAACATTACTATTTCTGAAAAAAATTCGACATTTTTTAATTTTTAAAGTACTTGCAGTTTAGAACTTATTCATAGAATTTATTTGTTCGATTTAGCAAATTTGCTTAATGCAAGTTCTAAGTGAAAAATAATTTTGTTAAGCATTATTCTTTTTTAAAATTTTATCTTCACATAATTGTTTTCTCAAAGCATTACTGTTTCTGAAAAAAATGTTAAGCATAAAGGTGTTCTTTTAATTTTATTTTTTTAAACCGAAAAACGCTTTTTTTAACTGAAAAGCTTTTTATTCTTTCGACACTTTTAGTTTTTATAAAAGCATTTTTCTTTCTGAAAAAGGTTAAATTTGAAGCTGTATATTAATTTGATTTTTATCGTAAAGCTTTTTTGATCTAAACTTTTAATTTTTTACAAGCATTGCTATTTCTAAAGTAAGTCAAATTTAAAGCTGTTTATATCCTTTTAAACGCAAAAGCTTTTTTTTTCTTTTAACACCTTCGTTTATCTGTATTAAATAAATAAAAACGTCCGAAATTCTAATTCACTGGTGAAAGTAGTTTTCTAGAAGAAAGCTCTTAGCATTATGAGTTTAATTCATTATCATACCCTTGAAATATTATGGAATTTCCGTAATTTCTGAAAACATTTTTTCTAGCAGTATCTACGGTAATGTATTAATTTTTTTAATTAATTGAAAAATAAATTTGTCCATTACTATATTTGATTTAAACAGCCATACAAAAAGATCACCCAGACATGATTTCGATTTCTCATATTTTTATTTACAAGTATCATTCTATCAAGTACAATTTTTCTCTCAATTTATTAAATGAAGAATATATATATAGATCTATTCTTTTCAGTTCTACTGTTAAAAGCCTATACACCGATCTTGAGTTAACTGATCAGTGTCAAGTGTAATTTCTGTTCATTTATTAGTGTTAATGCTGTTATTTCATTATTGACATTAATTTATTAGGAATAATATAATTCTTACCTATCGTAATGTATTAGCGATAAAAGTATCTATGAGTATTAAAATAAAAAACAGCTTTTTTACATACACCATGCCCCCTATAAAAATAGTTGGGATAAAACGAGTTAAACGCTTGTCTTGAATTTTGCTTTCGTCGATACAGAAAATTTTCAATGTTATTAAGACAGACAGATTAGTAAATGCAAAGTA